GATGGCTCGCTTTTGGATCCCGAGTTTCCAACCTTCTCTTATTTCTTAGTGGTGGGTAAAAAAAATCTTAAAACGGGCTAAATTCAAAAAATAACCACGCAGAGCGAAAGAAGTGCTATTTCTCAATGATTAGGTAAAATTTCGAGGCCTTATTTCACGTCACAATGATTTTATTGAAATTTTTGATGATTCCCCATACATTTCCTTACAACAGGACACCACAGAAACCAAGCTTGGGCTACCTGTGTCAGTACTGGTCAGTGGATTGTGCTACGTGTAAGGATAGGATCATCAAAATGGCGGTTGAAGGTTACTTTTTCACTCCACTCGTACTTTTAATCATCCCCAAAGAATGCCACGACGAATTCTTTATCAAGTTTAACTTCTTTCATGGTAAAGCTAACTCATTTGATAATATTCTGTTTATTTTTGTTGTTGCAAACGTAAGTTTAATTTCTTTGTTTCCTTATAGCCGCTTGTTTCAAACTTGCATTGAGTAAAGTTCTTGGTTATGGAATTGTTATTGGGTCTTCCATGAGTAAGTGAAAGTTATTGATGTTATAATCTTATAATAAATTAGATATGGACTTATTGTAGATATTATCGATTGGTTTGATTGATGTCATTTACCGTAACAGAAAAAAGCACGGAACCTAAATTTGCCCTGGTGGCGCCGACACCCCTATTTATAAATTCAAAAGGAGTAAAAATACCTAAAGAATCTCAGCTTCAGACTATCAATCACCTGTATACAATATCCGTGACTGAGATTATAATCAGATTCTTTGAACGTATAAGTTATTATCTTAGAGATAAAACCCATGATAGAGTTGGAAATAGGTCAGGATCACTTTGCTTATAAAGGTTGTAATACCACATTATTACAGTGCCGAACATATGGATAAAATGGTTGGATGGGATGGCTGATCGTGCAATGATTTTTGCTTTTGAATTCTTGAAAGCCTTTGCTTCAGAGAACACTTTATCTTACTGAATAAGTTTGAACAATTGCCTATTAATCATATATCTATTTAACTGGGTAGTGGATTTTCTTACTCATAGACAACAGAAAGTCACTAGTGATGGTATAGGAGTTATATTAGCAGCTTTCTATGCAACTAGGACTGATTGTGTCAACCTATTTACTCTAGGARGAGGAGGAGCAAGGGATCTGTAGCCTCAACTGGCTTTTTTTCRACCTTCAAATTTTATCTATACCAGGGTTCGTGCTACTCCTTGAAATCCTTGAAAAGTCCTTGAATTGAAAACACGGTTTTAAGGGCACTTGAAAAGCCCTTGAAATTAGGGGAAAACGCCAAAACTCCTGGAATACTCCTTGAATTTAATGCAAACTTAATGCTATTTCTAACTTTCCTTTTGAAATAAATAACGATTAAAATTGATAGAAGAGTTTTCATATATTTCGTAAATAGCCTAGCTGAATATCTGGGTACTTCTGGTAAGAATGTGTATATTAAAGATCTATTTATCTAAGCTAGTGGCCCCGGCTGAATTAGCTGCACTGTAACATTGAATCAATGTTTAAACCACCTTCTAATACAAAAAACTTTGTCCTTGAAAATTGAACTTTTGTGCTTGAAAAGTGCTTAAAAAGTCCTTGAATTTTGTAACGAAAATGTAGCACAAACCCTGCTATACCCTCTAGGTTGATTGAAGTCAGGGCATGGTAAACTCAGATCAATTTTGAAATTTAGTGTGTTTTTAGGAGGGAGGAAAACCAGAGAACCCAAAGGAAAGAGCAAGGGAGAGACCTAAAAAAACCTCTACTTACGTGTGCTGCTGATTCTGTGAATTGAACTCGACCATAGAGATGAAGCAGGGTACATTTGATTCCCTCCCAACTTTAAACCTACGACTTTCTTTCTAATTCATACTAGTCTTTTGATATCTAGGCACCCCCTTTCTGCCATACCACCCACGTTCAGGATGCTCTGTGGTCCTTGTAATGCCATTTTGAAAATGTAAATGTTTGTGTTAATGAGAAGGGAAAAGCTTAAAGTTTTCTTAATATGTTGCTAAACACAAATGATCATGTTCGTACCCTAGATTACTAACTAATAGTATAATTTGTTATTAGTTAAGATCCCGCAGATTATCAAAGTCGCTGCTGCTGGTAGTGTTGTGGGACTTAGTCTGATGTCATTTTTGACTGAACTGGTAGCAACTACAGTAACATCTGCTTACAGCATGCAGAAAAGCTTTCCATTCAGGTAAACATTAAAAACCATTCTTCAAATTTGAAATGTCAAATGCTTTAAATTGAATTTTCAAAATATTCAAAAGTCATGATCAGCTACGAACATTTATTTTGTATTACAAATTTCTCAATGGGGGATCCATGAACTTAGAAAAAAATGCATTTAGTTCGATTTTCACGGCCTTCCTTTCACCGGTTCCCTTTCACCACACGCCAAGCTTTTCACCCATTCAGTGATTTTTGTTTGATGCTTGCCAACAAAACTGACAACCATACTCCTGATTAGGAATTGTGCTTTCATTATCTTATTTTCTTAATGAAGTTGTTGCAATGTTGTAATAAAATTATAAGCAAATAATCACTCGTTTTTTAAGGATTGCATCCTGGATATTGTAATATCACCAACTCACTGAAATTGACAGTAAAGTTTTTATAATCATAATTTTGCAGTACTTGGGGAGAGAGCTTTTTCTTGAGCCTGCAAACAAGTCTTTTGGTTGTCATGTACTTTCACTATAACCGTAGATCATCTATGGCGGCAGTATTTTTGGCAGTATACGCTGTGTGCATTTATGGCCTTCTGTCTAAGTATATGAGTCTTATTTTGTTGACTCAGCTCTTTTCTTTGAATGTTCCCTTGATGGCCATTAGTAAGGTAAGATGATGATCTGAAATATATTATTCAAGCTTAATATCATATTAAACACTGCATGTTAAGGTAATTCCCTTGTTTTGCACTGCACATCTTTCTGCACATAGGAGTAAAATCATGGAACTTACACAGTTTTTTCCTTTCCCTTTCTATACTAAGTAAAATTTATATCCAAAGCTAAATTTCCCTTTTTCCCCTTTTTCTTAATAGAAAAATTGTGATTTTTGTAAAACTTGACCCAGTCTTCCCTCGGAAAAGTGTGAGTTTTCGATCATTTGGTAGAGCATCCACCTACAAAATATGAATAAAATGACATTTTTCCCTCTTAATTTCAAGGGAATCACACTACATTTATAGGTTTACTTTCATTATTGTTGAAGTGCTACCTATGAAGATTGATGTCATGCTTGCTGGCTAGCATTTCAAYGACTGTTAATTAAAGAACTGATGAATAAGAAAACAATACCTTGAGGGAGATTTTAGATTGAATTAAAGATTTTAGATAATTAGGATTAAAATATTTAATAAAGTCTAAAGATCTCCCTCAAGATATTGTTTTTTATTGCAGTTCTTTGATTGACATTCATTGAAATGCTTGCCAGCAATGAGACATCATACTTTGCAGGTCACACTTCAGCAATAATAATAGTAATGTTGGCATCATGAAAAAGTGAGTCCAGTGATACTATTAAAGTTTCCTTTCTTTCATTCTTCATCAAGTAGGTTGAATTTTTTAGACAATAGTCCCCTTCACAGTTCCCTGCGCCATCTTGAAATGTAGCCATGCCTTTGCATTGAAACAAGACGAACGGTGAGCTTGCAATGATAGAGACATGGGAATAATTATCCAAGGTGTTAAAAAAGGTCTCTGTCATTGCAAGCTCACCGTTCATCTCGCTTCGATGCAAAAGCATGGCTACCTTTCAAGATGGGGCAGGGAACTTTGAAAGGGACTATTGCGACTTTTTAGTTCTCCAACTGGAAGCTTCAACTTCACTTTATTTTACACAATATGGTGTTAGAAAATTAAAAGATGTATGTGATACAAGGCAACTTGAAAAGCTCTTGCAAAAAAAAAACCAAATCATTGTACATACGGTGCATTGCAGTTTACTACCTTATTACATGAAATTTTCGCGACACGTTTATTTCATGATTTTACGGTGTGCGTTTTTCGYGACACTTAAATTTYGCAATTTTGGGAAATTTTTGTATTTTGAATCACTTTAATTTCCCGTTTTTAAGTAAGGCACTATTTCATTTAGCTTATCCTTGAATCRAATAGAACGACTTCATCTACAATATCGTCAAAACTAAAAAAAGATGCAGCGGCAGGTCTATATGACAACATTAACAACAAAGAAGTTCTCACAATGTCCACAAGTAATTCACGCTTGTACATGAATTATTGAGTCACTGATTGACCACGATATCCAAGTTACTACACCCTTGATTCCCGCTTTCTCCGATCCTTTCAAGACATGAACACAGAAAGCAGTAGTGATAAGTAGGACCGAGACATTGCCCCAGAATAGTTAGAAATATGATTTTGCAAACGTTTCAGTGGTAATAAATGTATTCTTTCTTGATTATTGACATATTGTGAGGCACTTAATTTTCGCGTCATGTTATGTTTGCAACACCTAGTTTTCACGTCGCTTTAATTTCGCGATATTTTTTTAATTTGCGAAATTAAGGTGTYGCGAAAATTCAAAGTAATAAGGTAGCATTATTCTTTAAGATAACAAAACTGCATGCTACAAAGATTGAATTAGTAGCATTCACGCTGATGTCGCATATTGTTTATTATAAGGCACAAAATAGGAGCCCTGGATGATATCTATAGGTCCCTTAGACTAAACATGTAGATGATTGTAAAACATAGATATTTTGCTGACAGCTCATAAATGGCATTATATATCAAGATGTAAAGCTTTTATTCCATTCCTTTGCAGGTACTTCAGATTGTAGCTAATTTTAGGCATGGACACACTGGTCAACTTTCATTCATTATGGTTTTTCTTCTTTTCATTGGAGCCATTGCTCGTATCTTTACCACTGTGCAAGAGACAGGTGATACAATCATGCTTGCTACATACTCCATGACTACTATTCTTAATGGTATTATGCTGGCTCAGGTCTTGTTCTACTGGAATGTTAAGGTCAACGTGGACCACACTAAAAAGTCTAATTGATAACTAACTTGAAAGTTACTTTATCATATTATATTGTTATTACTGGAATTGAAAGTGGTTTTGAGGGTTTTAATTTATACATAATCAGACAATAAAGGTTTTCAAATAGGCTTACATTCATTTGTTGTTACAGCTTTAATCTTAAACAATCATGTATTTTACAGAAATAACTTTTTTTCAAACCATTGTTACTAATAGTATTGATATAAAAATGTAATGTATGTCATCGAATGTCACTTTAATAATTATATTTTTTATCAACATGTATGTGTCTCTCTGAGTAACAATAATTAACATTAATTAGATTAGTTTCCAGTTTTCAACTGTTTATGTGTAGCATGAAGAGCATTATGTAGCTTAGGATAGCTAGCAAAATCTGGCAAAATCGGATAGCAATTAGTGAGCCTCACCCAACTTCTGTTTGTAACAGTGATATGTTAGCATAATGTACATGACATACATCATCTGCTTCTTATAGATCAGCCAACCACTACTGAGGAGATAAGCTATTGTTTACATACGCTGGCGATAACAGGCAACTAATTTCTTAATTTTCTAAGTTTAACTTTGCTTAAATATTTTATTTATTTAACCACATTAAATCAATAGCAGTGATTTCAAGATGGTTGGCTTACACCTACATTTTTATGTAAGAAACCAGATATTTTTGTCTTTTGACATTACATTTTCTTTTTTGTTTGAGTTTTCTTGGGGTGTACTTCATGACCCTAACCATTACTAAAAAATGTATTCTGTACAAATAAAAAAAGAAGTATTATGTGTCCTAGAATTAGAAAACAAGAAAAAAAAAAGGAAATGTTTTTAAAATTTAAATTGATAAGCATTGCAGAGTACAATATTGGTAGATTTTGGGTTTGGAAGTTCCTCAATCCTCTCTTAATTAGTTCTAAATTTCTTGAAATATTTGCAGATGCAATATTTTATGAATGATTTTGCAAGAGAGAAAAAACACAAAACAACTTTACTAGGTAAAGTAGTATCAACAAGCAATGAATATTTTCCCTTAGTTAAGCATTTTTCTTGCTAATGTTTCAAATGCTAAGGAGTACTGATTATGTCAATATGGTTTAATAAAAACTACCAGTAGTGCCTTGTTCCCTGTAACGGTATCATTCATCCCTGGTTTTTAATATATAATATAATGTTAATTTCATTTGTTATATCTTTAATAATAAACAATATGAGGGTCAACTATTTTTTTCCACCCCGGTATGCTAAGAAATGGTGTGTTCTGATTGGCTGCTGGAGAATGCTGTATTTTCTTTTTTTATTTGGCCAATRGACCATAAAAGTGCGATAGTAAAAAGAGGGAGAATAAGCTATTTACAGTACTAAGGTCACTGGATAGGGAAAAATAGACTTTCGAAGTCCGCCGCCCGCTTTGTTTTTGTTTTTTTTACTGGGCGCACGACGGACTTTTCGACCTTGCTTCCCGCCAAATTTACCGACCCAAAAATCAGTCGGTAAATTATAGCCAATCACAATGCTCGAAATCCAAGCTGTCAATCACAATGTAAGATTAGTAAGATTATCTCTATGATTCCCATCGGCATCTGTCAACATGTACACAACATGTACACAACATCTGTCTGACAACATGAGATCAATATCTGAGGCCATATCATACGGTAAAAATAAATTAGGATACGAAACTAAAAGAGAATACCAGAAACAAAGTATAGAAGCGTATCTTTCAGGCAGAGAAGTTTTTATATCTGCACCAACAGGAGCGGGAAAAAGCCTGACATTTGAGATCGCTCCATTCGCCTTAGATTTTATGAGGTTCAGTGAGAAAAACTTCATCGAGACTGTTGTTGTYGTTGTTGCCCCTTTGGTCTCTTTAATGAAAGACCAAGTAACGTCTTTAAAATCGAAGAGGATCTCTGCTTCCTATATTGGAGACGTCGACGACTAAACAATTTCCGTCTATAGCCATTGTTCGGAACTTGACTGGCGCAAAGAAAGCATATTTTTTGTTTGGACGCAGGAGATATCGCTATTCTTTCAACAGTTTTAGTTGGATTTATAGCATCAACCATTATTATTGATAAACCATGTTTTGCTGCTCCGGATATAACATGAAGAAACAAATAAATGAAAACCACAATTCTTTAGCTCCGCCCCCGAAAGCCGACACTCCCGTATCAAATTCGGAAATGGCGGGAAACGCAATTGAATATCCTGCAAGTTCGACAAGTCGACCTCTCGCGACTTCGTCGCTCGCTCGCTGCGCTCGCAAGATTCTCGCTTCGCTCGAATTAAAAAAACGCCGAGAAAACAAGAGAGGTCGACTTGGGGCAAGTCTAAGGGAAAAACTGTGTTCATRGCCTTGAAACTGGACCTCCGTCTAACACCCCAGGTCCATATATTCAAGACCTTGTGCACTGTTATTCCCAATCTGGATCTCCTGGCTGGTAAACAACTTATATTCAATAATTTGCATTATTATATTTTTGTGACATTTATTTTTTGAATATCCAGATAGTGACTTTCATCCAAAACTTAGCAGCCGTAAAAAATAAGTAACACTTTTATGGGCACTTCCTCACACATTGTCATCCTTCTCACTTTATTTACTGGACCTAGGACATTCTTCAAACAAATCGTATCAAATTCTATACAATCACCCTTGGGGCCAAAAGATATTGTGTAATTTGAAAAGTGGAAAAATTCCATAGTTCTTTCCAGTGGCTGAAATTTCGATCTTCTTTTGCTTTGTTTGTTTGGAATGGCTTACTAAAAGGTTACAGAGTCCTGAGACACTTGGTAGTCTTCTGAAAGATCAAATCAACTTAGGCCAGATTTGGCATTTCTCCAGGTATAACCTGCCAGGCACTTTTAAAACTTGTTATTTGTTTGTCTAGGTACAACCTAAATCTCCTACATTTTCATTTCACTTCCTTTATAAGAAGTCATTGCTTGAGTCACATATTATTTTTATAAAATGCATCGTTCAATTAAAAGCGACGAAAGTTCCTTTCAGCTGACTTTTTTTTCTTCCAGTTTTCAAGATTTAGAACAGACCACGGAAGTGGTTAAGAGAACAATAGAATCTGAGCCCGCTCACTGGCGCGAATATGTCAGCGGTTTTTTGAAGTAAAAAGAAAACAAAAAGACCATACKTGGAAAGAAGTCGGTGGCTCGCAGCTGCGTTTAGACTTTACACGGTATTTCATCCCTAAAAAATACAATTTTATTGCCGTTTTAGACATAAGAACGCCAGAGAATATTCTATAACTGTACTTTCACCATCTGGTAGGTTCTTCGTCAGTGAAATGTGTACTGAGAGACGGTCAAAGTGAGAGCCAAAGCAAACTCTCTTATCTCTTATTCAACTAGTGTCTTTCAGACTTTTTGATCTTATTTAGAAAATTAACTTTGCTTCATCACAGTTCGCAGTATCGATCGTTCGTACGAGTCGTTTTCTAGAAGGTTTAAAGCTTTAAGCAAGGATATCGATCGTAAGACTGTCATGACAACTGAGTTGAAAACTTCGCTACCAAAAGAGGAAGACGAAGCTGGAAGACGGGTCGATTTACACACTTCTTCAGGAGCAACTATATGTCTCAGTTTTCCTGAAAACGAAGCGCCATTGCCGCAGGTTATTAAACTTGTAGATCCAGATACTGGCCAGTCAATGATATTTCAAAGTAAAGACGATGTTTATGATGAAGTTAGCGAGGAATTGGATAAAATATTGAGTAAACTCGATCAACATTGCGTTCATTCCAATTGCCAAAGTGAAGCTAATGGAACTGACCTACAGAGAAACAATGCAGCCGATGAACGATTCGAAAAGCAACGAGAAAAACTTCAAAAAAAGCTGAGAGAACGCAAAGGAAGCACTAACAAAGAAGAGGAAAAATGCAGTGGTCACTGTAATCAATTGATCGAAATCCCAGTCCAAGGACTGAGTCAACTACGAGATAAGCAAAATGATGAGGAAAATACAGGAATTGAAGATGGAAGTTTATCAATCGAAGAGGGTAAGAAAGCTCCGTTAAAAAATTTAATTTCAAATTTGTCTTCACTTATTCTTCGTAGACTATTCTTTGAACATCGTATGTAGGATGTTTTAAAAACCGGAAATCGAGAATCAAAGAATATTTGGGATAACGTCGTCGTTTAGAGCGCCCCATACATTATTCAATTCAACAGTAAGCTTATGTATGTAAGTAAATACATCGTACGTTTTTATTACAATAAATGTACATTTAATGATGCATCAGCTCATTTATCCCATTTTCATTAGGCTTAATGTAAAGATTATTCTTTTTCTGTTTTCCGTTTTTTTTCCTGGTATATAGCCATATGTCGTGCAATTTTTTTTCTTTTGATTTTGTAGTACTTATTTGGTTCAGAACATGATTTTCACCATAATTTGTCCTTTGCCTTATTATATAATTTGGAATTGCCTTCAAGTGTACTAGTAATTAATCCCAGCCCTACGGATTGATAATCAACATTAATCAATTGATTAATATGGGAAATCAATGGAAAAATGTGGGGGTATCGATTATCATTGATTTTTATCGATTTTCCTTAATGTCCAACACAAAGATGTGGAGGCTGTATGATTCAATTGCACATTATGTCATTGCGGCCATGTTGGTGCCATTTAACAAAAGATTTCTCATTAGCATCC